AACCCTTGAATTCTATGATTCTGTGATGATATTGTGAAGCAATGAGACAACTGAAATACAGTGAATATTAAGGCTTTTCCTTGCTATGTAATGAAACACTTTACATTGAAGTGACTGTTGCTCTTAATCTAACATTACCCATATGGGAATGTTCATTTGTTCTGTTGACAATATACCTCCTCCTTAGAAATGGGCATACATGAAGCCAGTGCATTGTGAAGACTGTTCAGCTCATGATCCTTGCAGTGACACGTGGTTGGCAACACTTAGAAGCTACATGTGAGGGCAAGTGATGCTCTGCAAAGTGACTGATCCCTTAAGAATGCTGCAGAGCCGTGCTGACAGAACACCATGCTGCTTGGTGTTTGCAGGGAGAGAGCCCAAGGGCATGGGGAAAAAAATCAGGTTCTTGCACCTCCAGTTGTGTTCTCTAGCTGAAGTGCCTGCACAGTTACCTCTGTCGGTGCACAGCGCATGATACTCTTGCTCAGGTCTTGTCAGCTGTGGTGATTTGGCTTTGAAGGATTAGCCATATATCAGTAGCACTTTAGAGTGCACTTAGCTGCTTTTAAGATAGAACAGTGTATCATAGAATCATAGAATCAACCATGTTGGAAGAGACCTCAAAGATCATCAAGTCCAACCCCACCATGGTCACTAGCCCATGGCACTAAGTGCCACATCCAGTCTCAGCTTGAAAACCTCCAGGGATGGGGAATCCACCACCTCCCTGGGCAGCACATTCCAATGCCTGAGCACTCTCTCTGCAAAAAATCTCTTCCTAATCTCCAACCTGACCCTCCCCTGGCAGAGCTTGAGTCTGTGCCCTCTTGTCCTGCTGCTGGTTGCCTGGGAGAAGAGACCAACCCTCACCTGACTCCAACCTCCTGTCAGGGAGTTGCAGAGGGTGAGAAGGTCTCCCCTGAGCCTCCTCTTCTCCAGGCTGAACAACCAGGCTATGAACTTGGTTAGTAGGCTGGCTGTAAAGAAGCTACTTTAATAGCTTGCATACAACACACCTGAAACTCTGCTTTGGAGGTTTTCCTGAGTTAGAGCTGTGGTGATTCAGGTCGTGATTCACAGCACCTTGGCTCAGTTGACATATTAGATGACCAAAACAAGGTGTTAGAGTGAGGCATCCTCCCAGCTGGATGAAAAGGATGACTGGCCTGGTTTTCTGACCTTTATGTCTGGATGTTTGTAAGCAGTAACATGGGAAAATGTTGCAGTGTAGGATTTGTGTGACTCTAGGTATTGTGTACTTGCCCCGTTTGGTCTAAAATAATTTAACCTTGTTCTGAAATCACTAGAAATCTTATCACAGAATTTTAGGGTTTGGAATTAACCTGAGAGACCAGGGGATTGGGACTGGATGATCTGTAAGGTCCATTCCAACCTCTAAAATTCTGTGATTAGTGATGAACTAGGAGAACTATAGAAAAACATCTAGAAGCTCTTAACAACATGATCACAGCATGATCTTCTGTCTGAGGGATTAGTGAGCACTCCAAGGCCACAGAGTCTTTCCCTCAGTGCCCCAAAAGTGTTTATTTAGTGCAGAGCTTGCTCCAGGATGTAGCTGGTTCTTCAGCAAGGTATCACTGCTGTCCTTTGCACATCTGTGCCTGCCTTAGGGATGGGAGAGTCTTCCTTCTGTGGTTGCCTTCCCTTTGCTGCTTCGATACTTGCAGGGTCCTATTGATTTATCTCTAAAACATGAGATTAGTTCCAAATCTATAGGTCATGATGATATAACTAGATGTCTTGTGTGTTTTCTGCTCCTTAAATAGTAGCAATAATTCTGTCTCAGAAGGTCAAAAATAATGACATAGGCTGACTGGGTGTTTTAAAAACTAATTTAGGGGGAAAATGAAGCGTGAAAGGAATAACATTACGGAAAGGTAGATCATTTAAGTGATAATCTTTATTGTACCTTTGAAAATTAGCTTCCTATTCACAGTTCTGAGCAGCATTTAGTCATACCAGTAATTGTAGTCCTTTAATCAAGTGGTCATTTAAAATGACTTAAGGTACAAGGAGTTTCCACCATGGCTTTGCAAAGCTATTTTTAATCCTGCAGGAGTATAGATAAGGTGAAAAATGGACAACTTGCTTGTGTAGGATATTTGTTTCTGCCTCTCAGATGGTTCTTTGGGATACCTAACAATTCCTTTTTTCACTTGGGAATTGTCTAAAGTCGTTACTCCTCTCAGAATCCCACAATCGGTTAGGTTGGAAGGGACCACAATGGTCATCTGGTCCAACCTCCCTACTCCAGCAGGGCCAGCCCAGAGC